ATAAATTCTGAATATGAAGTCATTTGATTAGGGGCTAATTTGAAATTACCACTGGTATTTATACGTACATTGGAAGTAAATCAATAACACTCTAACACCACTCTAAAGAAATGTTCCAACTACTGTTAATAATAAAAGCTTTGGTAACACTTTTAAAATTTATGTAATTAGGGCTAATAAGATAAAAACTTATTAGAAATAATCATTTCAAACATTCTTGTTTATTTATTTAAGCAGACATAATAAAAAATCTGACTCCAACCTACCAGACCAAACCAGAAGGAAAGGAATTCCAAAAGAAGCCTTACATAAAGAGTCATAAATAATGACTCACTATTACCTTATTTATGACCACTAATTTTACCATATTTACTTACCATTGACCGCAACCTTGTTTTAGCAACAAAGTTTTATTTTCAAATAGCTGCCAGTCACTGATACTGATACCTGAACAACAAACACGTCCACTAAGTATCAAATTGTTAGTTTGGTACAGCTGGAAACAACAAAATGCCATGTAAAATATACTGTAATTCAAATATTCCTTAATTTCATCTATTGCCTATCCTTTAGCTGATATCAGTCTAAAGACAAAATAATTTAACTAGTGACCCAGCTTTAATTTTAAAAGTTAATAATCAAAGATACCTTTCTTTCCTCTGTAATATTTTGACCTAGAAGAAAACCATGGCTCCCAAATTTTGAAATACTGTCTGTGTTTACTAAGGTCATCCTCTTTTTTCTTCAAATTCAATCCATATTTGCAGTGAAGAGGATCCAATTCAGAAAGAAGAGTGGGATTTCAGTTAGAGCAGAAGAAAACACCTGCCATTAATCCCAAGAGCACAAGTGGGGTCTGGAGTGTCCGAAGCAGCCACCACAGCTGTGAATGGAGGTTGACCTCAGCTTCGGTTCTGTCTTGAGCTGGCAGGTGCCAGGACGCCATTCAGTCTGCTCAAAAACAACCTCTTTTGAAATAGCAGTATTTTATTGCTCAATTGTGAATGCAAATTTTTATTTGTTCATGAATTAAGGATCCTTTCTTATGGCAAGCTGTCTAAATAAGTCTAGTTTTCATATGCGATTTTGGCATTAGTCATTGAACTTTGGGGAAAAAAACTCATCCCTGCTCACCACTGTAAATTGTTTTAGAAAAGTTTTAACCTCAAACATGCCATAAAACCTAATAAAGTGCCTTTAGAGGACTGGTACAATGAGAGGCTTGGCCTCTGAAATCTCACCCGGAAAAAGGAACTAAACTTTAAGAAGAAGAAGCTTTTGGGGGGAAAGGGGTAAGAGCAGGGGAGGAGTTCCACTGTAACGTACATAAAGTAAGTAACTTTATAGTAGCTTGGTTTTCTAGGCGAGTTTTTCTTAATGCTAGTAGTAGGAAGTGTTTAACTGTAGCACTAGACTATTAAGCTTTTCGAAACAGACCATTCATGTTTTCTAAATTAGCTTCTCCCACCATATCTTCTATCAGTGCCTAGAACACTGCCAAACTTTTTGTAGGCATTTGTATTTAAATGTATAATAAATCAAAATAGACTTAAATAACATGTTATTTAAATCAAGACTGGAATCTCCATCGTATTTCTTAAACTGAATGGTAGGTATTCTCTCAGTGTTTTTTGGGGTTTCCTTTGCCTCACCAAAAATAAAACCCTACTTGTAGAGCATTAGAGAACATTTTATGTGTGTTAAAAATTATCAAATAAATTCTTTAGACTTAATTTTACAGGGGTAGACACATAGTCTATACCAATTACTCACTACTTGGTTCACTGAAAACATTAATAAAACATTAAAATTTTACTGAAAACATAAAGAAAAATGATTTCCTTGGTTTCCCTTTGTTTTAATGGCATAATTATTTTGGGGCTAAGAGAAACAAGAGTTTGTTTAGTTGATTCTGTTATCTTAGCTCCCTCTCTCTCTCTCTCTAAACCTCCACAATTACTCTTTATCTCATTTTGTACTTGAGATCCTGGGGTCACTACAAAATACTCGGAAATGTAATTGGGAGCCACTTCAGAAGGCATCTGTTGAAGGCAGGAACATAGTAATCATTCTTTATGAAAATATAATTCTAGAGCTCTGTCCCAACACTTATCATCCAAACCTAGTCACACAGACTAGGTTAAAGTCCTGGCTAATTCACTTGCAAGAGATCTAACCTTGATAATCTTTGAATTTTATTTTTGGCATCTATAAAAGGAATATCATAATACTCTCTTCATTGGATGGGACAAGGTTAAATACGGTAACAGGTGAAAGTTCTTTGTTGATGGTAAAATATATAAACTACAAGACATGATATTATTGTTATTATTAAATTCATGATAACCTCACAGCTGTTACCAGAAGTCTCACAACTGAGAGTAGGAATTTAGGACAGTTCTTCTGTAGCAGATACTTAGCAGGAGATATTTTAGTAGACTGAGTATTCCTACATTTCCACCTGAAATGACATTGCAAGGTCTTAGGAAGGAGTACTTTGCTAAAACCTTGGCTGTGCTTCTATTCTAGACTTACACTTGTTTCCCAGCCTTTTAGTCACTCCCAGGTGAAGGTGAGAGATTGATTGAAGGTAACTTTGAAATGCTCCAGTTTCTCAAGTAGGCTGAGCTGAAATATGATTTCAATTTTAAGAGCTGGTGGGGGGGAGTATTGATGCCTCTAGAAATAGTATGTCCTGCTAGCATTTTTGTTCAGAGATGAAGAAAATCTCAATGTGGCTTAAGAATAGACAGCTGCCCCAAAAGTAGAAAATCCCAAAAAGAGCCACATCTTTATGGCTATCTGATTTATGACAAAGATAACACTGTACTACCATGGGGAAAAGATTCATTTTCAATAAATGGTGTTGGGTTAATTTGATCCACACATAGGGAAAAAAAACATCTTGACGTTGACCTCACATCATGCACAAAATCAGTTCTCCATGAATTCAGATCTGAGTATGAAAAATAAAGTAATAAAACCTGTATTTTTTACTTTATTTTTTTATTGTTGGTTTTCTTACTTTGTTTTGTGTACCATACCATCCCAAATAATACATTTACTTCAGGTGTACAATATAGTGAGTCAATAATTCTATACATAACTCAGTACTCATCATGATAAATGTACTCTTAATTCCCTTCATCTATTTCACCCATCCCCCCCACCCCTCTGGCAACCACCAGTTTGTTCTCTAAAGTTAAAGTCTGCTTTTTTTTTCTTTTTTTCATTGTTTCTTTTGTTTCTTAATCATCACATATGAATGAAATCATATGGTATTTGTCTTTCTCTGACATTTTACTTAGAATCATACACTCTAGATCCATCTGTGTTACCACAAATGGCAAGATTTCATTCTTTTTTATGGCTGAGTGATATTCTAGCATATATATATATATATATATATATATATATATATATATATAAAACACCTCTACTTTACTTATCTTAATTTTTAAAAAATTTGATTCCAGTATAGTTAACATACAGTGTTATAGTAGTTTCAATAAGGCTTTTAGCATTTAGAATAAACATAAAAGAACCTCTTTATGTCCTTGAAGTAGCAAAGATTTCTTAAATGAAATACAAAAAGAGATAAAAAGAAAAAAATGTTAAATGGTGTTTTATTAAAATTAAACTTCTGTTCATCAAAACCCAGTTTAGAGAATATACACAGTACACAGAGTGGGAGAATATATTTGCAAAAAATAACTGATAGAAAACTCATATTCAGAATAATGTAAAGTACTCTCATACCTCTCTCTTGATACATACAGATATTACAATATGTAAAGAACTTCAGTAAGTCTAAAGGACAACTCAATAGAAAATGGGCAAAAGATATGAATAGACACTCTGTGGATGAAGATGCAAAATGGACAAAACATGCATTAAAAGGAGTTAAGCTAATTAATCCCTGAAGAAATACAAATTAAAACAGTGTGAAACTACTACACCTCCCACCATAATGTCTAAAACAAAAAAAGAAGGAAAATACCAAGTATTGGTATTGATATAGGGGCACTGAAATTCTTGTATACTGGTGATGGGAGTATAAATTGTTAGAATCACAGTGAAAAACTATTTGTCAGTACCTACTAAAGCTAAACATATTAGGTATTTCCTATAACCTAATAATTCCACTCCTAGATTTACACCCAACAGAAATGCATACAGTTTTTAATCAAAAGACATAAACTAAGATATTTATAGCAGCACTATTTTCAGTAGTCAAGACCTAGAAACTCTTGGAAACAAATGGCATCAACCAAGTAGGATAAACAAATAAATTATGGTTTATTCACATGATGGAATATTATAGAGCAGTAAGAACAAACTATCTACAGCTACATACAAAATTATGCATACATTTTATACTTACCGAGCAATGGAGGTCAGATGCATACTGGTATGATTCCATTTCTGTAAAGTACAAAAAGAGACAAACTATTTTGTCAGAGGTCAGAAATAGTAGTTGAGAGTAATGATAAGAAAATGTTACCATAAGCCCTCTCGTTTTCCTTTGCTGGGTTCTACTTGCATAGAAGTAGCTTGTGAAAGCTTTTAGCTTTTTTTTTTTACATTTAGCTTGTGAAAATTTATTTTGCATATTATATAGTTATGACATGTGGACTTTGTGCACTTTTCTCTGTCTGTGTAGTATGGCAGTATATATAGTATATGCTATGGTATAGTACTATACTTTATTGGTATGTGTACCAGTATGGTATAGTACCATGCATACTGGGAGATGATATATACCATACTATAAATACCATTATACTATATATATAATAGTATATGTATTATACCACTTGCACATTCTAACCATCTTATAATTATACTTTGGAACCTAAAATTCCTTGATAAACCTCACTGATGGGTATACCTCTTTGCCCTTTGCATGAATCTTGCAGATAACTAGCTGATCTATTTAAGTTATAATTTTTTGAAATTTATTAAAAACTGTTTTCTTTCTTTCTTTCTTTTTTTATTAGGGCCCTCCAGGTCCAAAAGGTGATAAGGTAAGAAAATGTGTAGCAGAAACAAATTAAGTTAGTGTAAATCCATTGGTATGGTCTATGCTATGTTGTATTTTGGTCTTTTTAATGCATGTCACATATAGCCTTTACACTAAAACTATTTATCATCTCATCTTCCTATTCTACAGGGAGAACAAGGTGATCAGGGACCTCGGGTAAGTTGTATTCTTCCAATCCTGGGTAGAAAATTAATTTTCAGCTCCAAACTTATTGAATTAAAATAGCTTTGGCTTTATAACTGCGTTTGTGTCATGGTTTAGAATTAGCTGGCAAAAAATGCCATACCACTTGTAAGTGAAATAGCCTTAATAATAATTAATGGATAAATCCTGTAGCATTGCTTTGACTTGATACCTGTAAATAGGACACTGTACAATAATTAGCCCTCTGATGAAGGGCCAGAATCACTACTAAAAAGTCAATAACAACCACCATTCCCTTGGCTATTGGGTCCTTCAGATTTGCATGCATTGTTTTGCAATAATGAGGCCATTTGGATTCCTGTTGAATTTGAACTTTTTCTGCAGTTAAACTTTATGTGCTATTGCATAAATATGTTATATTATAGATGAAAATATTAATGCATTTTATATTTTTATTCTTCATCATAAATTTGAATAATACTTATTTGAATTTCTTATTTTTATAGATTTTTAAGCAGATAAAAGGTGTAATATAACTTAGCATTCCAGGGAGGAGGGGCATTCTTTTATTCTTCTCAAATGTGGCTCTTTTAACCATTATAACACAATGGTGAATGCTTTGTTGTTACCTTGGTAGTGCCAAGTCCTCTGCTTCACATCTGTGCCTTATTACCCAAATGTTCAGACATACTGTTCCAATGATGTAGTGGCTCCGTTCAGACATACCTCTCAATTTTCTCATGTCACTATGCACAAGAGCGAGTATTTGGTTGAAGAGTCATTTTTTACAGTGGAAAAGCACATTTAAAACTTTGAGGTTTAAAACAGAAACTGTAGGGTTTTTGTAAAATGCACTGTATGTTGTTAATTACTGAATTCATTTATACTGCAGTGGAGGTTTTATTGCAAAAGATGTAGTTGATGCAACTTGAAAAATTTGGAGTCTTATCTCTTTGTGTTTATTAAACTAGATAAAATGTATGCTATGATTTGTTTTCCTTTCCACTCTTCAGCCATTTCTTTATATAAAAGTAATGACCATGCCTCCGAGCATTTTGTTTCTCATGCAGTCATTCTAGCTGATGACTAGCTTCAAGCTAGAAGCTCATGTTAGTGGTTGAGGAGTTTAAACATCGTGATATCTGTCATGGATGTGAATGGAATAAAATTCTCATAACCTTAAATGATTAGAGGATAGCCACTTGCTCTGTATGTGGTGATTATTTCACATAGCATGTCTCCATGTATTGAGTATCATTTCTTTCCACACGAAATCTCAAAATCACTCAACTTACCCTTTCCAGGTAAGAGGGAAACTGTTTCCACTCTGAGAAATCTTCTTTTGGCAAAGGAAGTAAAGGGGTGGTTCGCAGCTTAGCTGTCATCAGCGTGCGCGCAGTCCTCATTTTCAAAAAGGTGTGTTGGCTTTCATCGTTCCAAAAAGTGATGATGGATGATAAAGCCAGGCCAAATTTTCAGGATGAAACCTGAAACCATGTGAAATTCACCTGGTTTCATGTTGCATTACAAACTAAGACTTGGACCAGTTTCCTTGCAAGTTTGGCCAAAGTTCATGAACTACTTTGACGAACCCAGACTGCCTTTCATACAGATTTCAGCCAGTTTTCACGCGGACTGAGGCCAAGTTTCACACAGTTCAGGGCCCATTTAGCATTTCAGGTAGAAAGTGGCAAAAATTGATCCCATTTTCCCCAGAATTTTGCTTTTTGTTTGAAGGCATTTGGATTGATTTTATCATGCAAGGTGAATCTTCATGGATTAAAAATCTAAAATGTCCTGGGAGGTATGTGTGAAATAGAATAAGAACCTACCAAATTGCACCTTTTCTCAAATTCCTAATTTAGAAACAAGGCAGGTCACAGATAATCGTCTCCAAAAAATAAAACTTACTTTCTAGTAAGAAAGTATTAGCTACTGATTAGGAAATTTATCATATCAACATGGTAAAGTGAATGGTTTATAATTTCCAGAGAAATCAAAAGTAAGTTAGAAGAGGAAAGGTCTTCAATTTTAATGAGAATTCACTTTACTCACATCCTCTGTAGGCACACTATTCCAGCTAACATTCATGGAGACTCTCTTTTCTAAAATGTCGATCTTTGTATTTGAATACCCTGCCCATTTTTATCCTATCATAGTTTTTGAATTCAACTTTTTACCATTTGTTTCACGTAATTTATTTCTTCTGTCATTAACAATATGACCCTTCATCATTTCAGTTCTTTGTTAGCTTATCAACTGTTATAGGATTTCTACTGTTTCCTTAAATATGGGTTCCCCCTCCCCCCTTTTTTTTCTTTTTGGCTTCACAACTGTTAAACAGGAATATATTAAGTCATATTATGCAATTCAAAACAGGAAAGTGTTGAAGATAATAAAGACATTAAGAAGGTAAAACTATTTGGAAATACTTGTACATATATTTAGCAATATACATTGAATTTCTTTTATCTTCAAGATACCATGCTTAATATTATAGAAACTATAAATGGATCCTCTTTCTCTCTCTTCTACTACCACCAAATTCAACCTACTATCATCTCATCTTCTTGACTATGGTGGCAGCCTTCCAAGTAATCTTCCTTCTACTCTTGACCCTGTATAATCCATTTTTTACACAGCAGCCAGAGAGATCATTTTGTATTATAAATCAGATCATTTTACTCCCTGTTTTAAACCTCAAGATGAAATCCAAACCCTTCATGAACCTTCAAGATCTGGCCTTTGCTTAAGTCTCTAACCTTATCTCACACCACTCTTCTCTCCCCCCCCCCCCCCCCCCGAACATGCTCCAGTCACAAAGTCCTCTATGTGTACTTCAAACACATCACACTCACTCCCAGCTGGATGACTTTCTATTTGCTGTCTTCTGGTCTTCTGGTGATTGAGATTTCATCTCAAATACTTCCTTGGTGAGACTTCTCCGACTACCCAATCTAAATCTGAGATTCTCCTATTTTGTTTATTTATTTACTTGCTTGTTATCTGTAAAACATGCTGTACCATTTACATAAACTCTATGAGAACAAGGGTTTGGTCTATCTTGTTTGTACCATCAGCTAGAACAATAAGGACTCAATAAATATTTGTTGAATGTTAAAATAAAATATTATTACATCATTACTGCCCTCAAGTTGCTGATAATCTCATGGGTATTCAAGTGAGAAAACTATTTGGTTGTGTTAAATGCCTTAAATAACAATACCAAGAGATGCTAGATAAATAAAAATTCTTCCATTTTAAAGAATCATTGGACACAGTGGAAGTGGTGACACTTGAGCTAGGACTTGATAAATGGATAATCTTTAGAAGAGAAGATGAAGAGGGAAGACATTACACATTCCAGAAAGAAGAAATAGTATAAACAGTACTATACAATTGGGAAATGACAGGATTCATTTAAAGACAATAACATTTTTTATTTGCCAAGGATATAAGCTAAATATAGAAAAATTACATTATGTAGGCTGATTTTTTTTTTACTGAAGTTATATTATGAAATATTTTGAATGTTTTAGTGTGATAGGCAGAAAGGAGACATTGAAGATTTTTTTAGTACATTATTTGATGTATATTACCACTGGACTCTTTGGTATTATTACCAAATGTTCTTTGTGAAAATCTTCCTGATGATGGTATCTCATATAGAGTGGAATTGAAAGAAGACCAGAAACTGTCAGTCACCCAGGACAAGTTCGTAAGAACCTGGGCTGTAAGGGTAATGACCAGTCTTCAGGGAGAAGTGAGCAGAGAGGATGGGCTGGCTCAGTTTGACACACTGAAACACCCCTTCCTTGGAGGTAAGGGGTCACATTCAGCAGAAAACTCTGTCAGAATGAGAAGCTCAGCAGTGGGGAGGGGCTATGTTGGTGAGCCAAAGAAGGAATTCCAAAGAGTTACCAAAATATGAGAGAGAGCTCCATGTTTTTTATGCAGACTGCGATATTAGTTTATTCTTATATAATGAGAAGTTTGAAGAAGGTAGTTGGTGGTGTGATTAACATAATTCAATGATGTAACTATGGAAGCCTCTGTGAATCACTCTTGGCATTTTCTTCATGGTTGTAAGAAGGCTGTTTCAAGTCCAGCCATCACATATGTATCAGCAGGAAGAATAAAGGGGGAGGAGTCTTTATCAAGAAAACAAAAATTTTCCCATGAATTTCATAGTAGACTTCAGCTCACATCTCATTAGCCAGACAGTGTCACATAGTTAATTTGTAACTGGAAGTGAGCCAAAGAGATTGGTGTTGAAAAGGAAAGTTGGGTCATCTTGTAATCAAACCAATGTGAGTTTGCTCATTGATAAGTTACAGATAGAGACCATACTAAGTGGAGTTGTCACATAAAGGAAACATTATTTGCAGCAAATAAGGAGATCACAAGGCATAATTTCCAAAGCTATGACTCACTGAGAAGGGGTGAGTGGGTTCCTTTTATTTATGATTAGGATAAATATTCAGAAAAGGGAGATTTGCCATCACATTTAAAGGCAGGCATAAGGTTGCACAGGCATACTGAGAAAACATGCTAATACATGCATTGTACATTATGTTAATCAAACTTGTGCTCCTCCTTGGGCAAAGCCTTTAACATTATACTGAGGCAAATCTAACTATTGGACAAGGGGAAAGGGCTATGGGAATCGTCTAAGAGCTAGTATAATTTGGGTGGGATCTTGGGCTCATTATCTCTCCGAGGCGTTGCTTGAATGCAGGATCATACCTGTTTATATGCTGGAATCATATCAGTTGACCTTCAGTCTAGGTTTCTCTGGAGACTGTTATTGGATTTATTAGTGGGGTCTGAAAAGACACAATAGCTGATTGGCGGGAAATGGTTCTCTGAAAAACAAACCGAACTTTCTGCTAGTTTCAACTTCATTAGTTCTATGGGGCATGTTTTCAATCTCACCAACAGGAATTGCCACAAGTGCCAAACAAAAACTCAAAGAAGAAAAACCAGGGTTGACATTAGTATAGGAGAAATTA